TCTGAGGAGAATCTCACACGCTGGACACATCTACAGTATTTTTCGTTTCCCGTCACAGATGTACCCAGAATGCATCACTTCAGTTTTCCAATAAACAGTTTTAAAATTACTTTATTGATGTCTCATTAATGAAAAATCTACAACAAACAAAATAAAAAGACAAAGAAGCAGCCGCAATCCTCAACAACTTTTTAAAGAATCAGTCGTACTTCAAGCCTCAACAAGTTTTTAATGTTTAGACCATGAGCCAAAGTTCTGATTGAGGAAATCTGATCCCCGCAATCGGTGGTTGCAAAACGAGCTGTACAAGGGTTCATACACCACTAGTGGGCAACATTGTACATATAATGTACATGTAGCCAGTCAGAAAGTATCAAATTGAACCTGTGGACTAAAATTAGCTTCCACTAACATTTCTGTTGCATCAGTGGATTAGAAATTGCGGACCTAAATATTTTCATAAGCGCTTTAGAAATTGCAGAACTAATTTTAGAATTAGCACTGCCCACCACTGGCACTGAGAATCCTGAGGAGGCACAAAGGCCAAAAATTATACAATAACTTCAGTAAATCTGCTCTTGTAAAGTGAATATTTGAAAACTTTGACAATATGAGTGTTAAGGAATCACTGAAACATGTAGCTCAGATTGTTATTGTGCTGGTAATGTAACTGATTATGTGAACCAGAACAGAAAACATTTGGAGTTCAACAATTGTCCAGTTGTACTGAGCTCTGTAATTTTTACAAACAAGTCATTCCATAGCCTGGCCATTCTTACACAATTCCACTGAATTCTAATCCCACTTCTCTGCACCGTCTGTTTTTTCTCCATCGACTTGGATTTCTCCAGTAGAATTTCTACCGGGCCAATCGGTGAACAGAAGGAGTCTTGAACAATGATGTTGATTTTTTGCTGTTTCAGTCTGTCTGTAGTTTAGCAGTGGCAGTGGATGAAGTGAATGAAGTCATTCAGTCTGTGTTGACAAGGTTCCCATATTAAATTAAATATGTCTCACAAAGCCTGCAGCTCTCATATACAGCCATATGGTTCAGCTCTGTGGATGGTTGTTTACAGCAATCTCAGGTTAGCTTCTTGGCTTAGTTTCCTTTCCTAGTTGAGCTGGTGCTCCACATAAGTCACAACCAAACGTTAGCGATTGGGTAAAATCAGATCCAATCATTTAAAACTTCAACAGAGGCCATGCCAAACTGCAAAACCACATGTTTAACCACTCTCCTACTGCAGCCAATCAAAAACCCACAGAACTGGTTAAAAAATGCCACTATATTGGCAAGAAATGTAAATAAATGACAAGTAATTTGAATTATTTATGAATGGTTCTTTTTGGATGGGGTTGCACCTCACCTGCCCTTTATAGACCTGGTTTGAACCTAGAACGAAAGTCTCCAAATACACATGGAAATATATAAGTTACATAAAATTCTGTTTTTACTTTGGTTGTAGTCTCCGGCTGTGACAGAACAAAACAAAAAAGTAAATCTGATAACTTTCCAAATACAACAGTATTTTAGTTTGGGAGCATTTGTTGGCCTTGTGAGTAAAACAAACAAACAACTTTAATCAAAGTGATTCAGCAGAATCTTCAGCATCAGTCTGGAAGCTGGAGGTGGGTGGGGCATGAAGCACCATGTTTGGATTTAAAGAGACAGCCTCAAAACGAGTTGATCTGAGACACACCTCAGAAAAGGGGCGGGGCTTGTTGAGTTACAATAAGGAGGCATTCAGACCAAAACATTGCAGTTCTATTTTATATGAAGGATTCAAATATACACACAGAAAATAAACTCACGTTAAAAATGAAAACACAAACTACCTCAGCATGTACACAGGAAGAACAGGAGTGTTAAAGTTTCAGTGTTAAACTTTTGGGTGTTGATTTAACACCCTCTAGTGTTATTTTAACACTTTCTGAGTAAACTGACACCCAGTGTTGGTGTTAATTTACAGCGTTGATTTCCTCAGTGTTGTCTCAACACTGGACAGTGTTAAATAAGCTCCGCCCACTGTAAAGTCTTATATAACACTTAACAGTGTTGTTATTTAACACCATGCAGTGTTGAAAGACGTATTCTGCATACATGTCAACTTATAAGGATTTTACGTCATTTTGCAGGTAAACGGACATATAGAGCAATCTCACAGATTTTTTCAAGTCTTAAGGATTTTTTCAAAACCTCATTTTCAAATTTATTTTAACATGTCAGAGCCATTAGGATGATTAAAAAAAACAATAAATAACATCAAACAGGCAAAGAAATAAGATTTGAACTCTTTCCGCTCTCCTTTCCTCAGCAGGTGCTTTCATGTCCGCAGCTGACACCCCCCCCCNCATTGGAGAAATCTTGCATATACATGCATGTTCACAACTGCTCACAAACAGGTGTTCTGATCCGGGGGGTTCTGACWGGTCAC